CATAGGGGCGCGGAGGGAGGGATGGACAGGACCACCAGTGCAGTGAGTCTAGAGATACCTGCGCAGGGCAGCGTATGCGGGCGCCAGCTAAACATGTAGTAACACCTAATATTCTAGGCTATAAAAAATGTGCGGGTGGTCTTTAGGGTCGTTAATTTTAGTCTGTTTGTTTTGGCTTTGGGCTCAATGAAACCTTGACGAACCTCGCAAGTTATTTTAAGGCATTTAGTCCCTGATTCACATTCTTTGCCCCATAGCATGCATTTGGCCATTTTATATGTTTTCTTGGCCACGCCTTTCCTGTACTAGGCGTTATATTCGGTGTATTAATGCGCATTGTTCAGTAAGACTGCATTCCGATAACTTTTTGGCCTTTTTCTTGCAAACGGATCGTTTCGATTAGCACTTTTTAAATATGTGAATTGTTTAGAAGCCAGGAGAACCTCATTAAGGATGCATCTGCTTGTCTTAAGCTGATCCATGTTTCTCAGACTCTTTGCTCGCTCTTATATAAAAAAAACCTGCAAATAGTTTGTCTGATTAAACAACCACAAAGAACTTGTTGGCCACGCCTTTCGGTGTCTTAATGGGCATAGTTGTTGAATACGTAAATCGTCTAGAAACTCTTCAGTAATCAGAAACATCCAATTTTCATGGTTGGGGCCATCAGCAAATATATTTAGAGGTTCACTTTCGGATGTATTTTTTTAAAAATTTATTAACAGTTTATATTGAAGGCCATAACACCTGTGCGCCTGGTTTTTTTATTATCTTTATTTTTGCTCTGATTATTTTGACTTTCGGCTCGATAAAAATTTGACGAACCTCGCAACTGTCTGCAAAACTACTCCCAAACGAAGCTGTCCCAGCCAATTTGTCTCATCATTTTGGTGGAATCTTAAAGCTCTCTATAACCGTTCTCTCTCAAAGTTCATGTGTTTGCACTGTCCATTTGAGGAACCCAGTTATCCCTATCATCACGGTTTCCGGAACCTTTGATCGATGACGGCCTTTACACACACTTAATAGGGTATATTAGTCTTCCACAAATACCGTGCTCACACTTTCAAAGTCTCGCCTTAACCATCCTTGTTCCTTCTTAAACAGAAGCCTCTTTTATGCCCGTTATAGCTTTTATGCTTGACTTTTCCTGTGAAGCATCGAATGTTTGGCCATTTTGTATCTTTTCTTACTCACGCCTTTCCTGTACTATCGGTTTTATTAGGTGTATTTTTGGCGTTTTGTTTTTCAAACGGATCATTACGATTACCATTTTTATCGAATATGTCAAGTGTTGAGAAACTATTCAGTAGAGGAACCCATTCAGTTCCTGCTGCTGGTTCTATCACGGAATATGTTTAGGTGTTTTCTTTCGGATGGATTTTAAAAAATTACTAATGGATGATGTTCTAGGTTATAATAAGGGTATGAATGGTTTTTCGTATCGTTTATTTTGGTATGCTTGATTTAGCTTTCGGTCGTGTTAGTATCTACTCAGTGAAAGGTTTACGAACGTCGCAACGTTTTTTTTAAATATTTGGTCCCTCCTCCATATTGTTTGCTCCATAGCCTGTTTTACCCAAATCGACCGCTTTCAATCTACAGTACGACTCTAAGCTGTCCTAGCCTTCCCTATATCTTTCTCATCATCTTTGTTGAGTCGTAATGCTTCCGTTAATGTGTTTGCATTGTCTGTTTGAAAAGCCGAGTCAATCCTCTCATACCGAATCCGTAACCCTTAGTCGAAGATGGCA